GCTGCAAAGGGACAAAAGAAGTAATGGTCCAGTGACCTCTTTTTGTAACTTGGAACCTGTGGTTTTCCCAGATCTTACAGTGAGACCAAAATCTAGATGTTTGAACCCCAGGATAGGGATTTTTTAGTGCTGTCTCCAAAATCAACTTTAGCTTTTTTGTAATCTGATACATGTGAGCACTTAATTATTTGACTATAATTACATTTTGTGAATTTACATGTGAATTTTACTTCCAGCTCATGTCTGAATGTGTGATTAGAACAAAACTCTCTTATTGCAAAATCCTGTCTAGTTTTTGGAACTTTGGTCTCTAGTAAATATCGGGTATAATCAAGTCCCTGGTTATCAGTATCGAAAGGTGAAAGAAAGCAAAGATGTTTTAGATAGTTTTTACTTCTGACCCTTTAGTTGTTGAAAGTGACAAATAATAGTTGGTGATTTACCGTCAAAAATACTAGAAAGAGGGCGCCTGAGTGGCTCAGTGGGTTGAAGCCTCTGCCTTCAGCTCAGGACATGATCCCAGGGTCCTGGGATCAAGCCCTGCATCAGGCTCTCTGCTCAGTGGGGAGCCTGCTTCCTCCTCTCTCTGTCTGCCTCTCTCACTACTTGTGATCTCTCTGTCCTGTCAAATAAATAAAATCTTAAAAAAAAAAAATACTAGAAAGTTTCAGCTGACCTGGGAAGGGCTGTCTTCATCAAATAAGAGAAAAAACTGAAATACAAAGAAACCACGTATTTCGTTTTCTCATTTAAACAGTGATAGAGGGGCGCCTGGGTGGCTCAGTGGGTTAAAGCCTCTGCCTTCGGCTTAGGTCATGATCCCAGGGTCCTGGGATCGAGCCCCACATCGGGCTCTCTGCTCTGCAGGGAGCCTGCTTCCTCCTCTCTCTCTCTGCCTGCCTCTCTGCCTACTTGTGATCTCTGTCTGTCAAATGGATAAATAAAATCTTAAAAAAAAAAAACAGTGATAGAAATTAGACAAATGATTATACTCTGACTTAACAAACATTCCTTTGATTTTTATGATACGATTTAGAATTAGACCACAGAAAGGTTATCTTTAATGTTTCATCTCTGATTTAGAGACCTAAATTTCTAAGATCCACCTGTATTGCAACTGAACAAGTGAAGAATCATAGAAATATAGAGTACCGGTTATACAGTTTTTACTGTTGGATATGCTGCTTTAGGAAAATAATGCCTTTGTGGGTTTTGTAACAATTCCACAGGAGAACATATTTTAAATTACCTGTTATTTCTATCCGGAGTTGCCATTTTTATTAATGAACTCAATTCAGTCATTTCTTTGCATGTATAAAGATGAATGGGTAAACAGATATGAAATGACAGAAGTAATGAGGGGTTAGTGTGTGGTATATGCAGCTTACTCTCAAACAGTCTATTTTCTAAGAAAGGAGATAATCTGTGTGTATTTCTTAAAAAAGAGGATATTTTATTCTGATAATACAGTTGTCAAGTGGTATAATCTCTTGACAACACCTTTCTCTCCCAAACCTCTTTACTGTTCGATTATTACTCTGAGCTCTTAGATTCCTTTTCAGTGAGATCTTTCTGGTGCTGAAAGTGTCCCAAAACTTACCAGTGGGAGCCCCTCAAGGTGGCTTCTGTTTCCTGTTGGTATGTACCCATTAGTTTTTGAGTAATTGTTTGCTTTTTATGACACAAAAGATGTTCCAGGCCCACTTGGTACTTTTCCTGCCCTAGACCAGGAGTCACCTGTTTTTCGTAAGAGAACTTAGTTCCTTTGAGTGGGAGATGGTATTTGCAAACCAAGATCTGAGTACCAGGTGTGCTCATTGATAATGGGGTGTTATTGTTTTAAGGCTTCTTAATGAAAGATGCTTGGAATTTTTTTTTAAGTTATGAACTCATGTTCATACGTGCAGTTCAAATACAGTACACCCAGATTCTTTGTACGTTCCCCTGTTTCATACTTTGATGTCCAGCTATTGCCAGATCCCCTTTGTAGAGTCTGTACTATTTTTCATGCCAGTTCTGCAATGGATGAGTGTGCCTGTGTCCCCCCAGCCTTCCCAGCAGGTCAGCTGTTGTCAGGCTTTTCAGTGTCCTTTTGAAGTGTAAGAAATCACATCTCTAAATAGTTGATTTGAGTTTCTCTTACTGTGTGTGACCCTAAGCATTTTGTTTCATGTGTAAGGACTAATTGGATTACTTTGTATATATACAGTTGAACAACAAGAGTTTGAACAGAAACAGAGTTTGAACTCTGTGGGTCCACTTATGCAGTTTTGTTTTTTTTTTTTATAAATACAATATAGTACTGTAAATGTATTTTCTTTTCCTTATGGTTTTCTTAATAACTTTTTCTTTAGCTTCCTTTGTTATAAAAATACAGTATGTAACACTTAAAACACACAGAATGTAAGCTCATTGACAGTTGGTGTTCTCAGTAAGGCTTCAGTCAACAGTAGGCCATTAGTAGTTAAGTTTTGGGGGAGTCAGAAGGTATACATGATTTTCAACTGCGTGGGGGTCAGTGCCCTAACCCCTGCTTTGTTCAAAAGTCAACTTTGTTCAAAAGCCCACTTTTCTACCTTGTTTGGTCTTCTTTTGGTAGATTTTTAGGAATTGCGTATGTGTGTGTGTGTGTGTGTAGGAACTTATCTGCCTAATACCAAGAATTCTCAAATTTTTTTAAAGAAGATTCTTTAAAAAAAAAGTACGGTACTTGTTGCAAATATTTTCATCCAGTTCTCCAGTTGTCTTTTGTCTTGGCTTGTGTGGGTGCTTACTCATTTTTAAAAATGTATGGTGTTTTCTTCACACAAAAGGTTTTTATTTATCCATTTTTCATTGCATCTGGGTTTCTGTCATAGTCAGAAACCACACCCAAGTTTCAAGTGCATCCACATAAGTTTTCTTGCAGTGTTTATGGTTCCTATTCTTAAAATCAGAGCCTTTACCCATGTGGAGTTTTCCTGATTTAGGGTGCGAGGTGTGGACCTAATTCAGTCTTTTTCTAACTAACTAGCTGTTTGGAAAGCCATTTGGGCTCTCTGTTTTGTTTTAGGACTTTCTGTTTTGTTTGGCTGGTTGGCCGGTCTAGAGGGGGGGGGGGGGTTCCATCCGAAAGAGCATTCATTGTCTGCTGTCTGCAGGGGGGAGTTGGCACACCGCTTCCGTTGTGTGCCTCCGGGAGGCTCACTAGGTAGTCTCGCTGTGATGCAGGCCTGTGTGTAGGCTTGCTGCAGGGTTGGTTCTGGGCCCAGAGGAGGGGACCGAACAAAAGGACTGGACAGTAAATCCAAAACACCTTCACTTGGACAAGTTTTATTTTGGTGTGGTTCCTTCAGAATTAGATTATGAAATAATACCTTAAATTTAACTTAAAAACAAATGAGCATGGGCACCTGTGTGGCTCAGTGGGTTAAAGCCTCTGCCTTCAGCTCAGGTCATGATTCCAGGGTCCTGGGATCGAGCCCCACATCGGGCTCTCTGCTCAGCAGGGAGCCTGCTTCCTCCTCTCTCTCTGCCTGCCTCTCTGCCTACTTGTGATCTCTCTGTCAAATAAATAAGTAAAATCTTTAAAAAAATAAAAAATAAAAGAGCATGAAAAGCACTTAATATTATTGGACCTAGAACAAACAAAACAACACACATTCAGCCATATTCATTGACTGGTCTTAGTAAACACTATGTTTCATCACTAATAAGTGAGGAGGTAACAGTGAAGTAGGCTTTTTGCAGCATTTGGAAGTGGGCAAGTCTGGGATTGGCTGCTCTTGAACTTGGCAGTGGTCAAAGTGAGATGACAAATGTCTGAGAGGCATTCGGGGTGCCGGCTTGAAGCTGGACTGGGCAGATGTCGGGAGATAAGAGTGCATGGAACAAGGATGTCTGGAGAGAAGCACATGCTGGCCTTTATCTTCTAGACCCCTCCCCATCCACTTCTTAGAGCTCTGCACCTTTTTGGTCTTTTTTCCTGGTTACTGGGGAAAAGGGCAGTATAAACCCACATGTTCATGGAAAGCCCTGGAAAAAACTTCCATACTTTCTAGTATTAGGATACTAATCAGCAGCAGAACTTCTGTGAAGTAGGTACGTTCAGCTAGCTAGGCTGTTAAGGCGTGCCAGGTAAAATTCTTCTTTTCGCCACCAGTTACCAACCAGTAACTGCTGTATTCTGCTCCGTTTTCCAGCTGCTGCTAATAACTGCTGATCCTTTCCTCAGGGAGGTTTGGGGCCCAACCTAAGCACCCCTTACCAGTCTTCCCTGACCACCCCAGCTTATAAGATCTCCCCGTGAGATCTTGAGATCCACTGTGAGAGACAAATCCTGTTAACATTTTGGTATATTTTCCTCCACTCTTTTTTCTCCTATGTATATGATTTTTCAGAGTTGAGATTATACTCTGTATATAATACTGGATCCTATCTTCAACTTCTAGCCTTATTGTAAGTCATTTGTAAATAGGGTTTTAAAAGTTACATAATATTTCCTGGAGTGGATGCAGTATGATTTACTTATATTTGCTTTTTTATGCAAATATTAGTCCAATTGGATCATGAGAATATCCAAAGCAAGTCACCCTACTGTATTATTCCCCTTCCCTACTCCGTTAGCTGTGGAAAATGTTGTGTCTGTAGATGATAAGTCCATATCTTTGCTCGCTTCTCTGTTTTCAGTCTAAATATCATAGGAACTTTTTGCTCGAGGAGACCCACAAAGTACTATTTGCAGCTTACTCAGAGCTGTTACATCACCCAAATCTCTCCACCCTGAAAAAGGGGGCATTTGCATTTTAGGGGCCCATAAATCCTCTGAAATTCCACAAGAAGCATTTGGAGTGAGCATTTGTGCATTTCCCTGCGGTTTTCACTAGATTCTCATAGGCGTGCTTATCCAACAAAAAGCCACCGACACAGAGGCTAAAGCCCATCTGGAGACAGACGTATTTATTAAACTTCTCTGAAATCAACGATACCATTTTTCACCTTTTACTGTTCTTGGTTTTCAGGAAGGGATGAGACCATGCAGCCTGCCAGACCATCTTTCCTTGAATACTTCGAACAAAAAGAAAAGGAAAATCAGATCAACAGCTTCGGCCAGAGTGTACCTGGTCCCCTGAGGAACTCCTCTGACTGGAAAGTGCCACAGGATGGAGACTATGAATTTGTAAGTAGCGCTGGAAGTGGACAGTGGTGTCTGCTGGGGAGGGTTATTTGCCGCATCGTGTACCCACTTCTTTCACTTCACCGAAAGGGTCAGAGCATCTTCTAATGCAGTGCAGGCCCCTGGCCGTGCTGGCAGTAGCCCCTGGCCTGAGGGCGTCACGAGTTTGAGACGACATTTTGACGGACACTTGAGCACTTCTGGAGCTCCTGATTGGTGGCAACTTCTTTGCTTTCAAAATCCTTTATTCACTTGCCATTTTTCTTTTTGTCGAGATTGGAATTGCTATTGGTCAAAGAAATACTCATCGAGTGTGTACACACCGTCTTTCATCATTTATTTGGGATTGTGACTTTCTATTTAAGAGTTAGACCGGAGGGCAATTCATGCTGGTTTGTAGCGTTTTGGCTGTTCTGGTAATCATTTTCCTAATTTTAGGGTCTCTGAGAGGATTACTCTGAATTTTGCCTGAGGATGAATATTAAATTGTTCCACAGTTTCTTATGAAAAACTGGATGTGTTTTTCCTTTCTTTGCAGTGGAACATTCTCCCTCAACCACAGCCACTTGTTAGTGTTCACAGAGATTTAATGAGTAGAGGCAATAAAAAATGGGGGGAAAAGTAAGCTAAGGAGTCTGCATTCCTTTTCTGAATATTTTTGGAAAAGAATCTTCTCTTTAGGGATTTTTAACTATTATACTCTTAAGTTCTGTCATGGTTCTGTTGTTGTGTATAAAAGAACTCAGACTGGGCATCATCACCGGATTCTGGGAGGCCTTTCTAGGCCTGGCTTTCCATTCTCCTACTGCCTGGCCTCAAGGTCATGACGTCCTCCTTCCATAACATAATGTCTAGTGTCGTCCAGGAGCAGGAATGCCACAGCTGATACTGCTAGCGATGGAGAGCGTCTGAGGACCGGAGTAAGTCACCTGAGGCTGGGACACTGATGGCCACTGAAGCCACGGCAGAGCCCAGCTTCATTTGCTTTACCAAGTGTGCCTTCATTTACTTGTTCTACATCATCTGTTACTATCAACTCTTTGTTGATTCCGTTATTAGTCGAGCCGTGAGATTTGAATCATCTTTGCTGTTCTCTGTTGCCCACATAGTTATCTTCGGCATATTTGTAAGGACTTACTCAGTTTAGTGAGTCTCTAGGCAAAGATGAAATAAATAACTTCTGGAAAGCAGATACCGTGATACCATCACTGTGACAGAAAGCCTCAGAATCCTCAAATCTGTATTCCTAGGTATAGTTTCCTTTTTTTCTCTCTCTCTCTCTTTTAATATTATAGTAGTTAGAGATCCTGAAAGTCCAGCCATTCTAATCATTGCTTTCAGATCCGTAGTCCCAGTGTTTGAAGAATCACTTCTCTCTGCTGTAGTTTTCCTGACTAGGATCACTGGCAGAACTTGTTTCTGCGTGCAAGTGCTTGTGCAGAGGGGCTTTCGTGGGTCTTTCGAGAGTATAGCATGCTTTCCGTTCTGGAAGGCGGTGACTGCCGGAGGGAGTGGCCATGAGCACCAGGAGTGGGTGAGCACATTGCCCAGCCTGGGTGACACCTGGCCGGTGTGGGAGGAGGTCCTGAGGGCACCCTGTACACCAGCACTTACAAACTAGCAGCATCCAGCCCACAGGCCTTCTTGTGTGCTCTATGCAGGGCTCCCAAATCTTTTAGTATCTGCCTGTATATAAAAATTGAGAGCTTTTAAATAAAATGTTGGCTCTCTGGCTCATTTTGCAAACTTGGAAGACCTGCCCATAATAAACCTGCATGGTCGGAGGATCGTTGTCTGTTGCTGAGCAGGAGCTGCCCTTCTTAGGTCCGGTTCTTTTCGATGTCTGGCCTACTTCATTTGTATTAACTGGCCTGTCCGGCATTTAGGGGCATTCGACACTGGAATTCTTGCTGTAAACCCTCTGGCTATGTATATATCCACATTGGGCCTAAACCAACCCCATCCTCCCATATAAAATTTTATTGTTTTTACTGTCAAAATTTCAACAGAATTAATTTATAATTTCTCTTTTAAGAGAATCGCAAACTAAGCAGCGAAAGAAAGTTTAGCTGGGGTGTACCTGAGCTGCTATTCCAAAAAACACCAAAGATCAAGTGAAAATTATTTTATTCTAAGATTTTATTTATTATATTTGAGACGGAGAGAGAGAGAGAGAGAGAGAGCATGCTTGAGCATGCCCAAACGGGGTAGGGGGAGGGTCAGAGGGAGAGGGAGAAGCAGACTCCCTGCTGAGCAGAAGGCCCAATGTGGAACTCCATGCCAGGACCCTGGGATTGTGACCTGAGCCAAAGGCAGACGCTTAACCAACTGAGCCACTCAGGAGCCCCTGAAATGGATTTTTAATGCCATGGTATTCTTGCTAGATAGCACTTACCTTAACCTGAAATCAAGCATTTGAAATAACAGCTGCAGACAGTTTCTTTCTTTCTTTCTTTCTTTCTTTCTTTCTTTCTTTCTTTCTTTTTTAAAGATTTTTTAAATTTATTTGACAGACAGAGATCACAAGTAGGCAGAGAGGCAGGCAGAGAGAGAGGAGGAAGCAGGCTCCCCGCTGAGCAGAAAGCCCATTGTGGGGCTCCATCCCAGGACCCTGGGATCATGACTTGAGCTGAAGGCAGAGGCTTTAACCCAGAGCCACCCAGGCGCCCCTGCAGACAGTTTCTTTTTCTTTTCTTTTTTTTTTTTTTATTATAAAGAATTTTTTTTTTTTTTTTTTTTTAATTTATGAGAGTGAGAGAGAGAGAGCGAGCACAGGCAGACAGAATGGCAGGCAGAGGCAGAGGGAGAAGCAGGCTCCCTGCAGAGCAAGGAGCCCGATGTGGGACTCGATCCCAGGACGCTGGGATCATGACCTGAGCCGAAGGCAGCTGCTTAACCAACTGAGCCACCCAGGCGTCCCCTTGCAGACAGTTTCTTAAAGTGTTAGCATCACCTGGAAACTTGTTAGAAATGCACTCTCAGGCCCACCCCAGACTCAACTGCATCAGAGTCTCTGAGGTCAGCACTGAGTAATCTGTGTGTTCTAACCTACCTTATATGTGATTCTACCTTGCTAAATTCTGGTCTAAGTGGTTTTTAGAGTGTAGTATATTTTTATATAAGTTTCTTCTTTCTTTCCTAGTAGGAACTATAGAAACTCAGAGATAAGGACGTATTCGTGTTTAATAGCATTGCATGGTTTTTTAGTTTCCTTTTTACTCTCCCTTTGCGTCTTCTGTACTCCTGTTGAAGGCATCAAAGAAAAATAAAATAAGGAAAGTGTCCTTTTGTAAGTGACATTTGGCAAAGAAAGAGCCAAACTGTTGAATGAAGAAAGTATTCTGAATAATTTCACCTAGTTTGTAGAAGGTTGCGTGTCAGATTGGCCAACACATCTCCCCCAGGAATCTCTTAGAGACTCTCTGATTTCCCAATAGGCATTTAACAGTATTTAGTTATGAAATGTAATACATTTAACAGATTTTAATTATGAAAAAGATTTTCTTCCTATGAAGGCAATTGCTATTTTGAAATGTACTTTTTGCCCAAAATGGCAAATAGGAAGTAATTTCGTCAGGAATGGTAGAATTCAATACTGACAAAAACCTTCATATTTTCATCTGAAATTGAGTACTTCTGCATTTTTGAAATTGAATTACTTTATTTGCCATGTTGGAAAAGCAAAGGTTTCCTTTAACGTTTAATATGTATTGTGATAAAAGTATAAATGTGTGAAAATGCAGTATTCGCTAAAGTTGGTATCTGATAGTATATAAACAGATTGCACGTAGTGAATTCTAGGAGAGTTCAGAGCCTCCCACTTTGTCACTCCTAAAGCCACAAAAGGCTGTAAACTTAAATCCAGTTTGGCTCATGAATCCTCCAGAAACACACTGTAATCTTTCAATCTAAGGTGGTGGAGTGCCAGGATGGGGGAGAGTTGGTGGGGGGAGTTAATGGGAGGTGGGGGTGGGGGTGGGGTGTTGAATGGAAGAGATGCGGCTGCCCTGCCCATGAACTTATGGGGCGTGGGGTGGGGGGTTGGGCAGAGGTGAGGGAAACAGACTTTAGGTCAGGTAGTCTATGTGCTCAGGTAATAATGCTATATAAAGAAAAAAAGAGCCATAGTAAAGAGATAATATGAGATAGTATGCCTTTCAGCATGAGGAGACATTCAGCTAAGACTTGAATGAAGAGGGGCGGCATGTACAAAGGCCCCCAAGGAGGATGTGGTGGGCGTGGCTGGAGCAGAGTGACCCTGAGGACAGCAGCACTAATGTAAACACTTCAGTGATCACAGTACCTGTGAGCAAATTAAAATCCCCTTGAGGGGTGCCTGGGTGGTTCAGTCGGTTGATCGTCTGCCTTCAGCTCAGGTCATGATCCTAGGGTCCTGGCATGGAGCCCCACGTCAGGCTTCAAGCAGGGAGCCTGCTTCTCCTTCTCCCTCCTCGTGTGTGCGCTCTCTCAAATAAATAAATAAAATCTTTTTTAAAAAATCACCCTGATACCAAAATTACAGTCAAAATTCAGCTAAATCTTGTTTATAAGAGATATAACTAAAATAAAATATCACTGAAAAGTTTAAAATAGAAGATGGGAGAAATGCGCACTGGGAAAAATCCTCCCTAAAAGGAAGTAGGTGAAACAATATTAATATCCAATAAAATTGAATCCAAAACAAAGGACTATTACATGTGGAAAGATACATTTTATATTGCTGGAAGGGGTACTTGACTGGAAGACCTAAGTCGTGAAATTCTGTAAGCATGTGGACTTTTCCCAAACTGCAAGAAATAAAAGCAGTAAAGAGAAAACGGCAGTCATAGATGAAGGCTTGGTGTTCTCTCAAAAATGGACATTTCAGTTAGATTTAAAAAGAAAGTTACCACAATTAACAAGATTGATAAAACAGAAAATAGGAACATTTTTCAAGTATCCATGACACTTTTAAAACATACATGGAATATTTGCAAAATCTGACTATGTTTTAGAATGCTCAG